AAGTCGTCGACTGCAGTTTCGAATAACAACTTCGTTCACTGAGAATTTTATACATTCATACCCTTTCGTTCGTACATGCGCTGGTTTGTGTTCGCTGCTGATCTCGTCTGCATAAATACCTGTTAGTATTTATGTAGGAATCTACCTCAGTGTCATAGTAAAATTTTACTCATAAATATAATCTTACCCTGTTATTTTTTTAATTTTAAATTTAATTGTAATTTGATAGTGGCTTTACAAGGTTGCAAATATGCTATGTATGTATTCTTTTATAATTAGCGCTTCCATTAACAGTGCTTAGCGCACTGTTTGTATTACTGTGTTTGTTAACAAAGCGAACTCTTATCAGAGAAGGGAAGGGAAGAGAACTATCAGGGGGAAAGCGCCAAGAAATTAAGACTATAGCACGTGGAAGGGGTCAGGTTTAGGGGGGAGGTTTCTATTATTAGAAAAACAAGGTGCAAACCATACCCCTTACAATTGAAATCTATTTATTTATATACAAGAAGGTACATTGGGTTGTGAGAGTATGTAACACATATTATATAACACATAGCCGGTCGGCCGAGCGGACAGCACGCTGGACTTGTGATCCTGTGGTCCTGGGTTCGATCCCAGGCGCCGGCGAGAAACAATGGGCAGAGTTTCTTTCACCCTATGCTCCTGTTACCTAGCAGTAAAATAGGTACCTGGGTATTAGTCAGCTGTCACGGGCTGCTTCCTGGGGGTGGAGGCCTGGTCGAGGACCGGGCCGCGGGGACACTAAAATTAAAGCCCCGAAATCATCTTAAGATAACCTCAAGATAACATAACACACCTGCCCGAAACGCTGCGCGTACTAGTGGCTTTACAAGAATGTTATTACTATGTTATGTATCTCACAATCCCAATGTACCTTCTTGTATATATATAAATAAATATTAAGAGGTACATTGTAGCAAAGTTTGAGTTGACGGAGTGGGTAGCACAAGGTACAGTGTGAGTTTGAAACACATTTAGACACAATAAGGCACCGCCGAAGGAGGCTATTATTTGTTATGCACCTGTAACGTACGTTTATGTTACGTTGTTGGGTTGATTAGATACACAGTGTTTAGTGAATTTCATATTTATTTAGTAGTCCTGGATACAGCAGTGTCGCAGACGTTGAGACGAAGCCTGGAGCAGAGCTGAGTGAGGCCGGAGTCGTGGAGCTCTATGTGGGAGAGCGTGGCGGCTCCATTGAGAATTGTGAGTGTCTGAACTCGGGGAGCGAGAGCGTGGCGGCTCGATGCGGTCGTAGTCTGCTGTCTGCTCTGAGTCGAAGCTGTAGCGTCTTGGGTCGATTAGGACTGTACACCTGTACACGCTGAGTGCTACATTGTTGACTGCGGAAATTGAACTGTTTTCTATTCGACTGATTGATTGATGAAGATTAAGCCACCCAAAAGGTGGCACGGGCATGAATAGCCCGTAAGTGGTGGCCTTTTTAAGCCATTACCAGTATCAAGAGCTGATACTGGAGATCTGTGGAGGTGCGAATGCACCCTGCATGACGGGAGATGTCTCCCGGACCAAATGGTGACCAGATGGTGTGTTTTCTATTCATCAGATCGTTGTTTATATGGTGATTACATCTCAGCTTCCTCCAACAAGGTGAGAAGAGTATTACCTGTAATTGGGGAAAGGATTGTAGCTTCTGTAATTAGTTATGCTATTAAGATAATGATATAATGGAGCGAGTATAAGATTAACTCGCTACACACCCCATACTCAACTAGTAAGTAGTGGAGCAAAACATAGATTACATGGTCATAAAGTCTTAATCAGACCTCAGTGGCTATTTTTACATTATCATTTACAACTAACTTAAGTAAAATAACAACCAGTAAACAGACTGTTGTTTTCTAATTCTAGTTCAGGCACTTCCTGGGATAAAACGCGAACATTCCTTGAGGAACTGTGAGGTGCTTATCTGTTTTTCCTCGTAACGGTCCCAAAGCTTCCACAAATGTTCCTGTTTCTCTTTATTGCCTTTGAGGCGACTGGACTTCAGCTTTTGATCAGAAACCGGTTGGTATTGCAAGGTTACCAGGGACGTCTCACGGTACAGTAAGGGGATTAAAGTATATAAAGCCAAGTTGTCCCTCACTGCCCTTTGATTCAGACGCTGGTGCATCCTTCTACGTCATTGTTGGTCCTCACCAGTCCTCTAAATGCACACCAGTTCCCCAATTCACACACACTGTTGCATAGCCACGTATTTTTTATGTAATGATTTAATTGTGTCGTTAGGGGTGAACTGCTAGCCGACTTTTCTGATTCAGCAAACGCCTTACAATTATATAGTACACACGTACCACATAAGTACGTGTGTATTACACACGTACACACACACATCTTGTCAAGCACAAGACGAAGCTTGAAAAAGTTTAGTGGTATGCCAATAGGCTAGTCCCAGGACAAACAGGCATGAGTTACGAGGACAGGCTGCGAGAAATGCACCTCACGACACTGGAAGATAGAAGAGTAAAGGAAGACATGATCACTACCTACAAAATTCTCAGAGCAATTGATAGGGTACATAAAGATAAAATGTTTAACACGGGTGGTAGGCGAACAAGGGGACACAGGTGGAAACTTAGTACCCAAATGAAGCCCTGGGATGTTAGAAAGAACTTTTTCAGTGTCAGAGTAGTTAATAGATGGAATGCATTAAGCAGTGATGTGGTGGAGGCTGACTCCATACACAGTTTCAAATGCAGATATGATAGAGCCCAGTAGGCTCAGGAATCTGTATATCAGTTGATTGACAGTTGTGAGGTGGGACCAAAGAGCCAGAGCTCAACCCCCACAACCACAACTAGGTGAGTATACACACAAACACACACACGCACACACACACACACACACACACACACACACACACACACACACTACACACACATGTGTGTGCTATTTAACAGTTAGACAGGCTATTTAACACAAGGGGCACACGCACAAGGGGACACAGGTGGAAACTGAGTGCCCAAATGAGCCACAGAGATATTAGAAAGAACTTTTTTAGTGTCAGAGTGGTTGACAAATGGAATGCATTAGGAAGTGATGTGGTGGAGGCTGACTCCATACACAGTTTCAAGTGTAGATATGACAGAGCCCGATAGGCTCATGAATCTGTACACCTGTTGATTGACTGTTAAGAGGCGGGACCAAAGAGCCAGAGCTCAACCCCCGCAAACACAACTAGGTGAGTACAACTAGGTGAGTACACACACACAAACATACACACACTAATGCCTCTATTCACCTTGCAGTAAATAGGAACCTGGAAGTTAGAAAGCTGCTAAAGGCTGCATCCTGGGGATGTGTGTGTGTGTGTTGGATAAAAGTATATGTTGTTTAGATATGATGGAGGAAAAGGGGCCGAGAGTCGGTACATTAGACAACCGACGCTTAGAAAGGCGGGGTCCAAGAGCTAACAGCTAAATCTTGCAAATAATAAATCAAAATATTTAATACACACACATGTTTTACATTAATTTGGCTGAGGGCGACCATCTGTGATGGCCTCGACGGGGCAGGAAGTCAGCGGTTGACCAAAGGCCTCTCCCATCGTCTACATACCTGAGGATTTTTCCGGCTTAATTTTAAACGGAAGTAATGTCTTGGCATTTACGGCTTCAGCGGGTGGATGGGTCCGTGGGTTTATTACACTATGAGTGAAAACAATCGCCTATTCTCTATTTTATATTGCCGCTTGTAGAGCTAGAAGCTGTTGCCTCTTGTGTGCGTTGCACAAGGGGATTAATATCTGGATTATATCTTTCAATATTTCCAGTATTTTTAAAGGTATCGCTTAAATACCGAAGATACTGGTATTGGACACCGCTTAATTGACAATGTCTCAACAACGCAGGCTGAAGATGTGCGTGGTTCCTGCTATTGCAATGATGCTCATTTGCTTTTCAATGATGCGCCTTAGTTGTCCCCTCTCTAACTTACCGTTCTAAATACCCATTCTCCATCTTTTGCAAACATTCCCCCCTCATACATCTCCCCCCTTTCCTCCTGTCCCCCTGTCCCTTTTTTTGTCCCCCTGCCCACATTTTCTGTCATCTGTCCCCGATTCCTTTCCCTCTGTCCCCCTGTCCCTCTCTCTGTCCCCCCCTTTCCATCTCTCTGTCCCCCTGTCCCTCTCTATCCCATTGTCCCGCTCTCTCTCTCCCCCTGTTCCTCTCTGTCCTCCTGTTCCTCTCTCTGTCTCCCCTTTCCATCTCTCTGTCACTCTCTCTCCCCCTGTCCCTCTATGTCCCCCTGTCCATCTCTGTCCCCCTGTCCTTCTCTCTGTCCCCTGTACCTCTCTGTCCCCCTGCCCACTCTTTCTGTCCGCTGTCCCTCCTCTGTCCCCCTCCCTTTCCTCCAGTCCCCCTGTCCATCTCTGTCCCCTTATCCCTGTCTCTGTTCCCCTGTCCCTCTCTCTGTCCGCCCTTTCTGTCCCCTGTCCCTCTTTCTGTCCTCCTGTCCCCCTCTCTGACCCGGTCCCTTTCCCTCTGTCCCTGTCCTTCTCTGTCTCTGTCCGTGTCCCTCTCTCTGTCCCCTGTCCCTTCTCTGTCCCCCTGTCCTCCCTCTGTCTCCCGGTCCCCCTCTCTGACCCTGTCCCTCTGTCTCTGTCCCTGTCCCCCTGTCTGTCACTGTCTTTAGGCGCTTTCCTATAATAGTTATCATTTTATACAAGTATAACTATCACATAATAAATATAAAAGGAGTTTATCCAAAAACTGAAAGAAGTGTTGTGTTTTGTGCGTTGTATCGTGTTTGTGGGCATTCAGGGTGTGTTGTGTTTACGCTGGCGGGCGGCGTCCTTACCAACTCCGGATTATGTCTATTACATCACTAAACTTCATTTAATAACTATATGCCTGTCAAGTAGAAGATTTTATTTGTTAAAAGGATTATATTGTCGTTTTAATATGGAGCACGTACACATGTGCGAAACGTCCAAAGCTGGTGTCCGAAGTGGTAAAAATATTAGTGTGCGATGTTGTCAATGTACGGAGTGTCTTGTAGTCGCCGGGGAGAGTAGACTAGTCCACGGAGAGTATACCAGTCCACGGAGAGTAGACTAGCCACGGAGAGTATACCAGTCCACGGAGAGTAGACTAGTCCACGGAGAGTAGACCAGCCGGGGAGAGTAGACTAGTCCACGGAGAGTAGACCAGCCGGGGAGAGTAGAGATAATCTACCAGCTCCAACATGAGGACTCGCACCTCACCTCTTCTGCTCCAGTAAGACTGTGCCTTAAACTCTCGACTTTGTATTGTGACGATGACAATGTATTGCTGCTCGACACCTGTGTGGGGTGGCAGGTGTTGGCTGTGGTCAGTGGCAGGTGTTGGTTGTGGTCGGTGGCAGGTGTTGGCTGTGGTCGGTGTGGGGTGGCAGGTGTTGGCTGTGGTCGGTGTGGGGTGGCAGGTGTTGGCTGTGGTCGGTGTGGGGTGGCAGGTGTTGGCTGTGGTCAGTGTGGGGTGGCAGGTGTTGGCTGTGGTCAGTGTGGGGTGGCAGGTGTTGGCTGTGGTCGGTGGGTGGTGTTGGCTGTGGTCGGTGGGGGGTGGCAGGTGTTGGCTGTGGTCAGTGGGGGGTGGCAGGTGTTGGCTGTGGTCAGTGGGGGGTGGCAGGTGTTGGCTGTGGTCGGTGGGTAGCGTTGGCTGTGGTCGGTGGGGGGTGGCAGGTGTTGGCTGTGGTCAGTGGGGGGTGGCAGGTGTTGGCTGTGGTCAGTGGGGGGTGGCAGGTGTTGGCTGTGGTCGGTGGGTGGTGTTGGCTGTGGTCGGTGGGGGGTGGCAGGTGTTGGCTGTGGTCAGTGGGGGGTGGCAGGTGTTGGCTGTGGTCGGTGGGTGGTGTTGGCTGTGGTCGGTGGGCAGGTGTTGGCTGTGGTCGGTGGGCAGGTGTTGGCTGTGATCGGTGGGCAGGTGTTGGCTGTGATCGGTGGGCAGGTGTTGGCTGTGATCGGTGGGCAGGTGTTGGCTGTGGTCGGTGGGGGGTGGCAGGTGTTGGCTGTGTTCGGTGGGCAGGTGTTGGCTGTGGTCGGTGGCAGGTGTTGGCTGTGGTCGGTGGGCAGGTGTTGGCTGTGGGCAGGTGTTGGCTGTGGTCGGTGGGCAGGTGTTGGCTGTGGTCGGTGGCAAGTGTTGGCTGTGGTCGGTGGCAGGTGTTGGCTGTGGTCGGTGGCAGGTGTTGGCTGTGGTCGGTGGCAGGTGTTGGCTGTGGTCGGTGGGCAGGTGTTGGCTGTGGTCGGTGGGCAGGTGTTGGCTGTGGCCGGTGGGGGGTGGCAGGTGTTGGCTGTGGTCGGTGGGTAGGTGTTGGCTGTGGTCGGTGGAGGGTGGCAGGTGTTGGCTGTGTTCGGTGGGCAGGTGTTGGCTGTGGTCGGTGGGCAGGTGTTGGCTGTGGTCGGTGGGCAGGTGTTGGCTGTGGTCGGTGGGCAGGTGTTGGTTGTGGTCGGTGGGCAGGTGTTGGCTGTGGTCGGTGGGGGGTGGCAGGTGTTGGATGTGGTCGGTGGGCAGGTGTTGGCTGTGGTCGGTGGGGGGTGGCAGGTGTTGGCTGTGGTCGGTGGGCAGGTGTTATCTGGTTGGTGACAGGTGTTGGCTGTGGTTGGTGGGTGTTGACTGTGGTCGTGGGTCGTGGCAGGTGTTGGCTGTACTTGCCTAATTGTGCTTGCGGGGGTTGAGCTTTGGCTCTATGGTCCTGCCTCTCAACTGTCAATCAACTGGTGTACAGGTTGCTCTATCATATCTACATTTTATACTGTGTATGGAGTCAACCTCCACCATATCACTTCCTAATGCATTCCATTTATTAACTACTCTGACACTGAAAAAATTCTTTCTAACGTCTCTGTGTCTCATCCGGGTACTAAGTTTCCACCTGTGTCCCCTTGTACGTGTCCCACCCGTGCTGAAGAGTTTGTCTTTGTCCACCCTGTCAATTCGCCTGAGAATTTTGTAGGTGGTTATCATGTCTCCCCTTACTCTTGTTTTCCAGGGATGCGAGGTTCAGCTCCTTTAGCCCTTCCTCGTAGCTCATTCCTCTCAATTCCGGGACGAGCCTGGTGGCATACCGCTGAATCTTCTGTAACTTTGTTTTGTGTTTAACTAGGTATGGACTCCAGGCTGGAGCTGCATACTCCAGGATTGGTCTTACATAAGTGGTATACAGGGTCCTGAACGATTCCTTACACAAGTTTCTAAAGGCAGTTCTTATATTGGTGAGTCTAGCATTTGCCGCTGATGATATTCTTTTGATATGGGCCTCTGGGGACAGGTTCAGTGTGATATCAACCCCCCAGATCTTTCTCTCTATTTGACTCTTGCAGGATTTCACCTCCCAGATGGTACTTGTGTTCAGCCTCCTGCTCCCTTCGCCTAATTTCATTACCTTGCACTTTCCTGACTTGAACTTTAGCAGCCATTTTCTAGACCATTCCTCCAGTTTGTCCAGGTCATCCTGTAGTCTCTGTATCTTCATCCGTCTTGATTCTTCTCATAATTTTTGCATCATCAGCAAACATTGAGAGGAATGAGTCTATACCCTCCGGAAGATCGTTTACATGTATTAGAAACAGGATAGGTCCAAGTACTGAGCCCTGTGGGACTCCGCTGGTGACATCTCGCCACTCTGATGTCTCCCCTCCTCACCGTTACTCGCTGTTTCCTGTTGCTTAAGTACTCTCTTATCCACTGGAGCACCTTCCCTTTTACTCCTGCCTGTTGCTCCAACTTTTTTAACAGTCTTTTATGGGGTACTGTGTCAAAGGCTTTCTGTCAGTCCAGGAAAATGCAGTCAGCCCACCCTTCTCTTTCCTGCCTAATTTTTGTTGCCTGGTCATAGAATTCTATTAAACCTGTGAGACACAATTTACCATCCCTAAACCCATGTTGGTGGTGTGTTACAAAGTTATTTCCCTCCAGATGCTCTACGAGCCTTTTCCTCACGATCTTCTCCATCACCTTGCATGGTATACAAGTTAGGGAAACTGACCTGTAGTTCAGTGCCTCTTGCCTGTCACCCTTCTTGTATATTGGGACTACATTAGCTGTCTTCCAACTTTCTGGTAAGTCTCCTGTTTCCAGTGACCTGTTATACACCATAGAGAGTGGCACACTTAATGCTTCTGCACCTTCCCAGTGTGGTTGGTGGGTGTTGGCTGTGGTCGGGGGGGGGGGGTTGCAGATGTTAGCTGTGGCCGGTGGGTGGTGGCGTGAGGTGTGAGGGGTCAGCACTTGGGTCCGGGGCTCCCCCCCCCCTCCAAGAGAGGAGAGGGTTGTGCGGTGGCATTGAATGACAATTGCTTGTTTGCTAGTTTCCTTTGTTTTCTTTTGGGGAGTTCTACAATATTTCTGTGTTCAATCTTGAGTTCTTACAATTTCTACCATGTCAGGTTTGTTTTGAGATGCCTACCTTTCTGGGGTGCCTAACCCCAGCTAATGGCAGACAAGGAATATCTGCAAAATACAAGGGGTTTCCTTTAGCCATTCCTCCCTGTACCTCTCTGAGAGGGCCAGGTTCTGGCTCGTGGTCCCTGGTAAGCTGAACTCCAATTGACTCATGCCCTAGACTAATATAACACATCAGTCTGATAGCTCCAGGGAGCCTCCAAGGATCACCCAGAAAATGGCGTTTCATTACATTTTATTTTATTTTATTTTATTTATTTATATACAAGAAGGTACATTGGGTTTGTGAGAATACATAGCATAGTACAGTACTTACACTCTTGTAAAGCCACTAGTACGTGCAGCGTTTCGGGCAGGTCCTTAATCTAACAGATAATTTTAAGTAGGTAAATTCTATCAGAATTAATAAAATGATAACAAATACTTTCCAAGAAAAAAAAATGAGATGAGAGAGATTAGTATGTATATTAAAGCACATTAGTATACTAAAGCTCTGATTGATTACATTGACAGCTTGATTGGTAATTTAAACAAGATTAATAGACACCATACAGCAGATTGACAGCACATATAAGACAGCAATGATCACAATGATAAAGATGTTCAGATTGGGTACATAAAGATTGGGAGATTGGGTAGCAATAGATACAGTGCAATTTTAAAGCAAAAGGTAAAAAACTATGAAGATGAAATTAGGTACTTTTTAGTATTGTTTTTGAATGATGCAAAAGTTGGACAGCTTTTCAATTCAATAGGGAGTGAGTTCCATAAACTGGGTCCCTTTATTTGCATAGAGGGTTTACACAGATTAAGTTTGACTCTGGGGATATCAAAGAGAGATTTATTTCTGGTGTGGTGATAATGGGTCCTATTACATCTGTCCAGGGAGAGTTTCAGAGCAGGATTTGCATTTAAGAACAGGGCTTTTTAAATGTAGTTGACACAAGAGAATTTGTGGAGTGAGATTATGTTTAGCATGTTTAGGGAGTTAAACAAGGGGGCTGAGTGTTTGAATTTGTTATTATTCTGATAGCAGATTTTTGCTGGGTGATGATGGACTTGAGGTGGTTTGCAGTGGTTGAACCCCATGCACAGATACCATAATTAAGATAGGGACATTTAACGGTGTTTTTTTTTATTACAAGCTCAACTGAACAACAACATATTTGCAACAAATATTTTGGAAACAGGTGTTAATTCTGTTAAAAATTTATGCTGGAGTAATCTTTAATAATTTTTTTTATGTCTTTAGGGGATGGAGGATTCTACGACCAGGAGGTACTCGCTTCCAGCATGCCTCTGCATCTTGTCGTCCCATCAGCAAACTACTCATAGCCAATCGTGGAGAGATTGCTTGTCGAGTGGTGCGCACGGCTCGCAAAATGGGCATGCGGACAGTGGCAGTTTATTCAGAACCTGACAAAAACTCCATGCATGTGACTTTGGTAAGTTATTATCAATATGTTTAGTAAGTCATTGGATTTTTACCAGACCTTTGTTTTAATTCTAAAATTTTTAGGTTTTATGATTTTGCTGCTTTCTAAGATACGTTCCAGGTGTTTTTTTTGTATGCGGAGCAGCATACATTTAGGGTTATCTTTCCTAGGTGCTTCATAAGTACTGCCCTTGTGTTTCAGGGTTATCTTCCCTGGGGTGTTTGGGAATCACTCCCCGCTAGAGGACTTCCTCACTTGAGGTTTTCTTCACCCTCGGGGTACGTTGGGGGTCATGGGCTCTCCGTCTTGCCCTGGGTGGGGGTAGTGTTATTGGCTGGGTGTGGGTGCACTGTGGCTGGCACAGCCTGCCACAGTGCACCCACTGTGCACTGTGCACTACTACAACACGGCGGCCGATGCTTTGCTAGCTGCCAGTTTGTTGTGTTTCTTCGGGGCTTTTAGTTTCCATTTATTGTGTTTTTGCCTTTTGTGGACAGAAGTGGTCTGCCTAGCCTCTTATTAGGCTAGCCTAGGTGGTGTCTGTGGTCCTCCTCTGTTGCCCCCAAGGGTTTGCTGCTGCTACTGGTATTCAGTTTGCCTGCTACTAGACAGGGAGTCAATAGCCAGGGTCATTGGGGGCTGTCCTTATGTCGGGCTCACAGCACGGTGCTGAAGTTTGTGGCAGTGTGGCAGGCACTGCTCAGGATTCGGCTTTCTTGAGGTTCTGTGATCTGGCTCCATTCAGCCTGTTTTCCAGTGGTTCATTGTCTCAATTGTGGGAGGGGGGGTCCCTTTTGTCAATGGTTTTTTGGGTGGCTCTTCTGCTGAGTTCTCGGGTTTTAGCTCCACGCTATTCTTTTTATTTATTTATTTATGCATATACAAGAATGTAGATAGGGAATGTGAGGATACATAATATGGTAATTACAGTCTTGTAAAGCCACTAGTACGCGCAGCGTTTCGGGCAGACACATTCAGGGAAGGTCCAAAGTTCTGGCAGAATGCCTGTCACTCTTCATTCTTCTTTCCATGGAGTGGATGGTCAATGCCGCCTTCTTTCTTTGGCTTTGTCGGACGTACGGATGCCCGGAGGTGGACCTCTTTGTGTCGGTGTGGTCTGTGCGTCTCCCATTGTACGTAGTGCTGTTCCCCGACTACAAAACTGTTGCAGTAGATGCTTTTTGGCAGGATTGTTGAGATAAGGGTTCCTGTACTGCACCTCTTTCTCCCAGTCCAGCTGTTGTGCCAGGTCCTAGCCTGCTTGGAATCCTATCGAGGGAGGGTGATTCTCCTGGCTCCATGGTGGCTGGCACAGCTTTGTTTCGATTACTGCTTGCTCTGTGTTTTATATATATATGTGTATATTCATAATATGTATATTCCATCGCTTTCTTTTTCGTCTGAGGTTCTCGCCGATTTTGGACCAGGTTGTTTTGCCCTTTCTCTCTTGGCTTTTTCTGCATCGGCATCTCACACCTAATAGTGTCGCTTCATATTGCACGGCCTTGGTGGAGCTGCTCCAGCTTGCGTTCGGGACGGATGTTGCTTCATCTCCATTCTGCAAACGTTCATGTGTATTATTTCACCTCTGGTGTGCTCATGTGCTGCCTGAGTGTTCTTGGGCATTAGAGTGTGTTCTTTCTTTTCTTTCTTTTCCTGACTTTGTTGTAGCCCCCTTCAGTTAGGGATTGTTTTTGGAAGGCCTTGATTTTGTTGGTCTTGACCTCTGGAGGTCGGGTTGGGGAGCTTCATGCTCTCCTCTGATGCCGGGGGGTCTGTTCATTTGGTCCAGGTGGTTGTTTTGCTCATTTTCAGCCTTCTCCTTCTTTTCTGGGGAAAAATGTGCTGGCTGGCTTCCAGAGGTGTGCGTTGTTTGTGGATGCTTGGTTGGTTAGGCCGAGGGTGTCACGTGTTGTGTCCGGTGGCAGCTTTATGCCACCACCTGTGGGCCACTGGTTCTGTGACGCAGGACGCTCTTTGCGTTGATCCGATTTCTTTGCTTCCCTGTTCCAGGGCTCATGTGTCTCAGGTTGTCCACAGTGTCATAAAGTCCAGCCAGCCCGTGGTTTACCCTTGTGCCCATGACGTTCGTAAATACTGTATGCTACTCTCGCAGCGGTTTTTGGCAACATGGCTTTGGTAGTCATTTGGGTGTGGGGGTTTTGGAGGTCAAACAGGGTCTTGGCTGCCTGGTACAGTATCTGTGAACGTTCCGGTTGCTTCACGGCCTCGTCTGGCTTCGGGCGCCTGTTGCGGCCATCTGTCTCTTCTTCGTCTTGAGAACTTTGGTGCTTCTGCCTCCTGGGTAAGTCTTTCCTTTTACTTATCTTTAGGTAGTTACCTTCAGGGAGCCAACGAGGCTCCTCACAGAAAACCAGCGTTGAATGTGATGAAATGCCATTTTCTGGGTGAACCCCAGAGGCTTCCTGAAATTCCCTACAAGGAACAATCAATATAAGGTCTAAAAAACACCCTCCCCCCCCCCCTCGTCCTAGCCATGCCAAAAATCGGCCAAGCGTTACCCATGAGTGAGCACCCAGTAGCAAACCCACAATACCCCGCACACAAATGAGTATACTCTTCTTCAGTTTGATAACATTGATTTTTGTGCTATGTCGTTCATTTTGGTATCAAATTATTAGCAATAGATTTCACTTAAGGGATATATGCATATTAAAAAAAAAAAAACTGGCGTGCCACCCGCAAAAAAACCACAAATCAGCTGAGTATTACCCCATGAGCGAGCAACTGGACTAAAATGTGTATACTTTTAAATTTTCTTAAATATTTCTCACTGAAATTCTCATGCTATGTCCTTCATTTTGGTATCAAATTGTTTACAATAGAATTCATTACAGGAATATATCAGTTCTGTATAAGGAAAAAAAAAACTAGTGCATCCATCCCCCCTCCCCCCTCCTCTCCCCGCAAAGCCGATATTCAGTTAAGCATTACCCCATGAGCGAGCACCGATTGTCACCCACAACACCCCCACCCAAATGTGTATACAGGAGTATACAGGTATAGAGGAGGAGGAGGAGAGGTGTTAGTGTTTGGAAGGAGAGTCCCCGTCCATTATAACATCAGGCAGTGATGACATTTCTGGCGTACTCATTCTCTCTTACATTTTGCCTGCTTACCACTAGGACCTGGTTGTGGCTCACTGCTTGTTTTTCTTACTAAAAACCTGTCTAGGGACACTTGTTTTCCCTATGTTGAATCACTTGTCTGAAGTGAGACATCAGTCATTAAAAAGGTTAACACAACAGCTTGCTACAGCTTTATTTTGGTGAGCCTTTTCAACAAAACTTTGCATTTCTTCCCATACTGTACACTATTTCTGAGGTGTTGAGGAAGGGAAATCCTCTACTGCCTTCTTCCCTGAAGAAATTTCCTCAACTGCCTCTTGTTGCTGCTCCTCTTGAAGGGCTTGGAGTTCATCAGTGGTCAGTTCTTCGCTGTGTTCTTCCACCAACTCCTCCACATCAGCACCATCCAACTCCAAGCCCAATTGCCGACCCAGAGAAACAATTTCCTAAACAAGAGGCACTTCAGGTTCAGGCTCAAGCCCCTTAACCCTTAACATGCTCGGGGTCTAATATCCTGCTATCCCCACAGGCGCATGTCATTTTGAAAAAAAAAAAAAATTATTTTTTCTTTCTAACCTGTTAATTTGTGTTCACTGATCACGGGAAAAAAAAAAAATCGTAAGTGGCATATATTGCCCGCTATAGGGCGGGGAAGTCTGGCAAATTATAGGCGCTGACTCAGCGTGCGTCCCAGGCGGTCTGTTGCTCGCAAGCTGTCAGGCCAGAGTTGCCACAAAGAGATAATTACCGAATTATTTCAATGTCTCTGATTGATTTTTCATACTTTTTTTGCTGTAATATTATTCAATAGTGTGTAGTTTGATATATTTATATAATAAAATGAGTGAATCATTGCTGTACTCAAAAATATGGTGTGCATATTGTTGATTCAATTACGTTCATCAATCAGTGAACAAATACTTTGTCAGTTATTACACTATAAGCACAGGTTATATATAAGTATTTGCATGTTTTGTTCACTATAACGAACCACTAAGTAGCTATTATGAGTCAAAAAGTAATGAGGAGTGACCGCCGTGTACCAGCCAGCCACTCCCGCCCTCCCTCCAGTCATCTGACTCACCCTCATTCTCCTCCCACAATAATGTTTTTGCTATAATTCACTATATACAGACGTTATATATAAGTATCTACATATTTTGTTCACCATAACTGTACATCTAAGCTTGTATGGTGAGTAAAGGCACAGAGATGTGGCTACTCACACAGTCAGCTGATCGGCGGCCGCCCTCAAGGTCAGACGCACTAATATTTCTCCTCCAACAATACTGTGTGGTGTTATTACGCTATATATCTTATATACAGACGTTATATATAAGTATCTACATGTTTTGTTCACCATAACTGTACATCTAAGCTTGTATGGTGAGTAAAGGCACAGAGATGTGGCTACTCACACAGTCAGCTGATCGGCGGCCGCCCTCAAGGTCAGACGCACTAATATTTCTCCTCCAACAATACTGTGTGGTGTTATTACGCTATATATCTTACATACAGACGTTATATATAAATATCTACATGTTTTGTTCACCATAACTGTACATCTAAGCTTGTATGGTGAGTAAAGGCACAGAGATGTGGCTACTCACACAGTCAGCTGATCGGCGGCCGCCCTCAAGGCCAGACGCACTAATATTTCTCCTCCAACAATACTGTGTGGTGTTATTACGCTATATACACACATTATATATAAATATCTACCTGTTTTATTCATCATACTTGTACAAATAAACTGGTATGGTGCCCAAAGACCATCGTGGTAACCAGTAAACAACACCGTCGTCTGCACGGTGGCGTCGTGCAGACGACGCCACCGCTCTCACCAAAATGGCGGCTCCAAACCTTCTCTTGCTGTTTATACCCTCTATACACACGTTATATATAAGTATCTACATTTGT